CCCTCGTGTTTGCCATATGTTGTTTCTACCCAATCAGGAAAGTTGTCTCGCTGTTTCCCCCTTGGTAACAAAACCACCAAGACTGTCCTCTTTATTGGAACTGCTCACATTTTAGAAAGGTTTCTTCCTCAAGCTTGAAAGTCACTTATTTCCCAAATCTGATACTGTTGATTTCACCATTTCCTATGGCTATGAATTCTCAAGTTTTTATTTGAAAATAGACCTGTTTTAAGGAAGCAATGAAGTCAAAGGAGTTAGATTCCAAAAGAGGGTATGTATACCAGTATATTCAGGGCAGGGCTGGGAATAGTATGAGACAAGCACTCCTCTCAGGCACAAAACTGAAGAGGGTACTGAAAAACTCAATAATCAAGATAATGTTTTAATGCAATATTTTTAAAAAATCAATGCGAAAAAATCCATAATGAACAAAATGTCAATCTTAAAGACTGGATTCAACTGGACTGGGATCAGAGTGAGGGAAATAAGACTGAAATGAGCAAGTATAGGGTTGAATCCTGTCTTTATTTAAAACCGATAATTTGTTCATTGTGGTGGTGTTTTTTTACATTAGTTTTGATTTCCAAAAAATACTGCATTAAAATAGTATCTTGGTTACTGGGTTTTGGAGCGCCACTTAAATTTTGTGCCCCAAATGAGTGCCTTGCTCACCTCACCCTGTTTCTGGAGTTAGAACAATAATAGTGAGACTGCCACCTCATGGGCTTCCATCCCCTAACATGCACCCGAACAACAGGTGGCTCAAACTCACACCTTGAATTTGCACAACTCACTTAGCTTTCTCATAGACGTTCATCTATATCAGCGGTTCTCAACCTGTGGGTCGCCTAAGACCATCCTGCATATCAGATATTTACATTACGACTCATAACAGTAGCAACATTACAGTTATGAAGTAGCAACGAAAATAATTTCATGGTTGGGTCACAACATGAGGAACTGTATTTAAAGGGCCAGAAGGTTGAGAACCACTGATCTATATCATAGGATTCTGGCCTGGACCAATAGGAGTGGAAACAGACCAGAGATTTCCCTAGAGAATAAAACCAGGAAAGTTTTGATTCTCCACTGGACTGCTGTGTTTGGATTTGTTCTGTTACTAGTTCTAGGTAATACTTTTTGTTTTTAAAAACAGAGGACAAATGAACAAAAATGGAAACCTTATGTCGTTTGTTTTTCTTTTGATTTATAAATTAACCAATACCAATTTCTTCTGACTTCTTTTCAATAAAAATGATGGAAATTCTGGGGGGTGGCCTAGGGGTGAGTTTGGTAAAATAGGGCTTTATGTAGGCCTTATAGCTTTTTTGTTGTTGTTAACCCTCACCTGAGTATATTTTTTCAGTTGATTTTTAGAGAGAGTGGAAATATCGATGTTTTGAGAGACACATCAATCGGTTGCCTCCTGCCACGGGATCGTACCTGCAACCCAGGTACATGTCCTAGACCGGGAATCAGGAATCGAACCTGAGACCCTTCCGAGAGCAGGCCAGCACTCTAACCAATGAGCAACACTGGCCAGGGCAGCCCTATAGTTTTTTTATTAAGAAATATTTTTCTTAATTTGGGTAGGTAATTATTTATTGAAGCATTAAATAAACCTCTCCGTTCTAAGGATGAGGGACCCTGAGTCAATGGATGTTTTTCTATAGGGATGAGTAGGGTCTGTTTTGCTTTATTCTTTGAGGGAATTGTGTGGGGTGGGGGGAGTGAGGGAATAATGCCTAGGAAATGAACTTGGGTTGGTTTATGGTATTTTGGGAAGATGAGGGGGTGGAAGAGGCAAGCCCATGCAATTACTGTTTTGGGAGAAGGGAAGAGAGTGGTACATGATGTGCACTCAAACTGAGCAAAAATTCCTTAGTTAAGAAGAGGTCTGTGGGTGAAGGGGGTAAACAGACCCCCATAACCCTAGCTGAGGGATGCTGTCCCTCAGTCTTAAATAAGTGCACTTAGTTCCTTTAATTCAGGGTGTTGGGGTACCTATTGAAGTTTTTTTATTGGAAAGGGGAGATTTTCCCCTTTTGATTTAAGATAGTGCTACCCCTCCACCCTAATACACTCCAGCCCTGATGGAACAAGTATACTATAAGATAAGCCTCCAAAATCTTCTCAATCTATGCTGGTTTTACTGAGGGTTACAAGATTTAACCAAAAGTTTTCCCCACATACTGGATTCTATCAAAATGAAAAGATTATTTATAAAAATATATATAAATTTTAAGAAATTCAATGTCATTCTGGAGTGGGGATGGTGTTAAACTGTGCTGTACAGGCCTGGAGGGAAGTACCCTCCCTCTTGCAGTTTCTTCTCAGGCAAAACTAAAGCTCACAGACCAATAAAACAAAAATTAGCAATGACTTTGTATTGTATATTTGGGAGGGGATACTGAGCCAAAAAGAATGGGGCTGGTTCTGAATGACTTGAGAACCTAGCTTTTACCATTCTTACTCCTTTCTAAACAGCCACTTGTCCAAGGTTCCAGTCACGTTTTTTTCTTTCCCAATAAAGGAGCTTCAGAAATTATTGTCCCTGAGTTACTTGGACACCTTGGACTCTGTCCTCTTCTTTCTCCAAGAGTCAGTGTCCCAGACACATAGCCACGGGTGAGAAGACAGAATTAGAAGCCCCTTCCTGGCCTGGAATCATCTGCACCGTAGATTTTTCTAGTTTCTTTTTCCCTCCAGGCCCTTTAACTGTAGATTCAGTGAGTCATACAAGCACTCTGTCTCACTTTGTAGATACCCAGTCTACAAATCACAGGGTGTTTTGCTCCATGTACTTAAGTTAATTAACAAAATATTATGAAGTCTCCTGTGTAGACACTCCATGGCACCTTCCTCCACCTGGTGAGTAAGGGGCTTTAGAAGAGAGGGAAGCTGGCTGATAGTAGCAGAACTGACTGAAGTGGGGGTGGGAAGGACTAAGGCCTCTTTCCGTGTTTATAACTGGATCCGTGACTCATCTTATGAGTCACTCAGCTCCTCCTTCAGCTGCCCCTCCTGGCAGCCTTCATTCGTAGCACAAACCTACAACCAGATCAGGATTCTGAAAATGGAAAAATCTGATAGTTCCACCCTTCCTTTCGTCCACTGAGCCTCCACTGGGAGTGTGTGGGGTGGTGAGAGGTGGTTCTGTTAATTACCCCTCATCAGCTGCCCTCATTGCATTCCTGGTTGGGGACTAATCCAAGTCACCTTCCCTCCACCCCCAACTTTCCCCCAATCTCCTGATATTTTTCTCTGTATTTCTCTGCTGTTCCTTACCTCAAAGTATTAAAGAATAGAATGAGGCTTTTGAATGAAGGGTGGTGGGAGAAGGTGAGTGGATAATATTTTAAAATTGTGGTACACACCTCTTATTGCAACAGACCTTGGGAAGTATTTTCTTCCCGAGATTGAAACCCATGGAATGCAGGTAGGGGTGGGGATGCTTAGTAGCTTTGAGGACCTTGAGAATCAGGTATTCCTCTTTGTTCCAGATTGACACCCTGTCTCACAATATGTATTTTCACTATTTCCATAGTTGCAGCCAGACAGGGAACTTGTAAAGCTGAGGCCGGAAGGGTGTGTGTGCTGGGGGTTGGAGAGAATAAAGTGACACTGGGCCCCCACCTATGGATTGCTGCCTCTGTACAGACTCAAAATCAATAAAACAGCAGCTCATTAACTCTTTGTATTTTATTTCCTGTCTTTTTCATATCTAAATACAGATGTCGCGTTCATACCCTAGTCCCCCACATCTGCAGTCCTGCAGTTCCTTTACTTTCTTCCAGTGCCCTTCCCCCACCTTTGCTTCTTGGGTTGCAAGTGGGTTGGGAGGAGGAATGGGATTGCTGAACTGAACAGAGGTTTCCAGCCCTCAGCTTTCAGAATCCTGAACATGAATTATTAATTTGGAGATCTGGTGTCTGGATTGGAGGGAGGGGTCATGTACCTGGGGTGGGCTCCAGTTTCTAATTGGTTGGGGTGGTGTGTGTGCGCGGGCATGTGTGCATGTTTGTGTTTGATGGATAAAGTTGGTGAGATCTTTTCCTTGAGCCTCCCACCCCCACCCCAGAACTTGCACATAAACATACCTGTACTTGTGTCTGCATCGTGGAGAGATTTCAGTTTCTCACCTTTTCCACTGCACCGTGCATAGGAGGTATGTTTCATGCTCTCTGGGGAAGGAAGGACAAAAACACTAACTCATCCCCATCCCCAATTCTTGGGTCTCCCCAGGCAAAACTACCCTATGGTCCAATTTCCATTTACTTCTCAATTCCTTTTGGTAGGTCTGTCAGGAGAGGCTGTAAGAAGGCCTTACTTAACTACTTTTGTGTTCCCCTTCCTCCACCCTGTCCCTTTTAAGATATAAAAAAAACTGAGCTTCCCAGGGAAGCCATCACTCAGAGTCTAGAGAAGTGGCCCAAATTGTTCCAGTTTAATATTCGGTATTACTGCTCCCCTCAAACAATCTCCAATTCTCACGAACAGGAAGTGAATAGGAGTTGGGAGTAAGAGTAAAGGAGGGAATCTGGGTATTTCCCCCCAGTTCCCCATTGATTCCTCACCCTTCCCAGGCGCCTCCACTTCCTCTCCACTTTCCTAAAATTGTGTGTATGCTCCTTTAAGGGGCTGGGCATCTCTCCCGCCCTCTCCCGAGTCGACTGAAGTTTCCGAGGAGCCTCCTCTAGCTGGACACAACTTTCAAAGACCCCAAATCGTGCTCCATGCACCTCAAATGTTCCTTTGCCCTGACTGTTCCCTTGCCCGGATCCCATCCCTGACTTCCGTCCTCTCAGCTACAAGATCCAGCCTCTCCCCAAGGGGCTTGAGCATCCTTGAAGTTTCCCACCTTTGACTGCTCCGTCCCCGGATGGAGCCGGAGAAATGTGGTGGGGGGGCCGGGGCCAGAGTTTCAACATCGCCCCCCAGAAGGAGGAGCCAGAGATGGGGGTAAGGAGAGTTGGGCTTGGGGGGAGGGGTTGGTGGGTCAGAGGGTGTGAGTAGGGAGGATGTGGAAATAGAAGAAAAGGATCTAGAGCAGGAGGAGGGTGTGTCTCATATTCTCTGGCTGATGGAGCTTGGTCTGTCTTTTTCAGTCTCAAGTTCATCGTCTCATTATCCATTAACCAGCCCCTCCCTTCACTGTCTGCCAACCCAGGCCCTGAGCTCCCCACAGCCACTGATCTCAGTTTCCCCTGAGTCTGAGTGTAGGCCTCCAAAGGTGGCTGCTGAGTTAACCCCAGACCCCAGGGTTGGAGAGGCCTGGGGAATAACGCTACACCCTTCACAGCTCTCTGGACCACAGTCTGTCCAGGGGAGTGGGATGCCAGAGCCCAGGAGTCCTCAACTTGGCAGTTGCCTGGCCTCTGGATGCCTCCCAGGTAATAATGTCCTTCCAGTACTTCTGATCGTCAGAAACGACTTCAAATTTCATCCTGCTTAAATCCTGTTTCCTACCGTCACTAAAGATACCTTCATATTCCTTTCCTGGCTCAAAGTGCTGCTTCTGCTTGAGGCTTGTTCTCTTCTCTGAACAGAACTGTCTGGGAGCTTGGATCTTGGTGATCCCTCTGTTTTCTTGACCCTGTTACCCCTTTTCTCATTTACTTATTCAATAAATATTTAAGTGTTTACTATGTGCCAGGCACTGTGCTAGACTCTAGAGTAAAAGATTACAAATTCTCTCCTCATAACCTTTCATTCTTAGGAGTTAGAGGAGGATCTTAATCTTTCCTCTTTAGATCCTCCTGTCTCAGAGGAGTGGGTGTACACATGTGGGCAACACTGGAATGGTCATAACCTGGCTTCTCCTGTAGGGGAGCAGATCCTAGCATGGGCCCCAGGGGTGCGGAAGGGGCTGGAACCTGAATTGCCTGGAACCCTGATCTGCACCAACTTGAGGGTCACCTTCCAACCCTGTGGATGGCAGCGGCGTCAGGTGAGATGGTTAGGCCAATGAAAATGACAGCTAGAGGGAATAGGTAGCAGAGTCTAGAAGGATTTAGACAACCATTACAGGAAGTGTGGGAGTTATTCTTTTTTTTTTTTGAAAAATTTTTTGTTGTTAATCCTCATCTGAGGATATTTTTTGCATTGATTTTTAGAGAAAGTGGAAGGGCGGGAAGGGGAAAGAGACTGAGAGAAAGGGGGGCAGGGATAGAGATAGAGAAAGCAAGAGAGAGAGAACAGACAGACAGACTGACACAGTCAGACATCGATTGGTTGTTTCTACATGCGCCCTGACCAGGGTGGGGATTGAACCTGCAACCCAAGTATGTGCCTTGACTGGGAATCAAACCCTGAGACCCTTTAGTGTGTGGGTTGGTGTTCTAACTATTAAGCAACCCCAGCTAGAGAGTTATTCTTAAAGGCTCTCTTTGGAATGTATCAGGGATAACCAATGGGATCTCTTCTAGAAAGGTGAGGGGCTACCGAGATAGGATGTGAGATTTCAGATGTCTTGAGCATGTCATGTGCTTCCTCTAGGAGACTCCCCTAAGCAGTGATTATGATTTTGCCCTGGTCAACATTGGGCAATTAGAGGCTGGTAAGTGTGGGGGGCTGGTAAAGGGGCTCACTGGGGGTGTTGTCTACCCTCCTCAATCCTTCCTCTATTCTTAGAGGACAGCCAGAGATGCAGTGGGATGGGCAGGAAGAGTTTCTCCTAGAGCAGTGGTTCTCAACCTTCTGGCCCTTTAAATACAGTTCCTCATGTTGTGACCCAACCATAAAATTATTTTCGTTGCTACTTCAAAACTGTAATGTTGCTACTGTTATGAATCGTAATGTAAATATCTGATATGCAGGATGGCCTTGGGCACCCCCTGTGAAAGGGTCGTTCGACCGCCAAAGGGGTCGCGACCCACAGGTTGAGAACCGCTGTCATAGAGGGACCCTGATCCATGGCTACACTGCTCTCTAATTTTTTACTTCAGTGAGTAGCCTGTCTCGAGTCCAACTCCACCGTCCAGGGTCCCTGCTTAAATTTATCCCTGAGGAGATCCTGATTCACGGCCGAGACTTCCGGCTGCTCAGAGTTGGTTTTGAGGCTGGAGGACTAGAGCCTCAGGCCTTTCAGGTAAGAGGCTCCCAACCCAAGACCCCTTCCTTCCCTGAGAACCTTGGGATCCTTTCCCTGGCAGTTCCCAGTACTCCCTTATTTCCCAGGATCCCTCTCATTCGCTCTGCCTCTTTCCTCAAGGAGTGGCTAAAAGGCTGGGATAAATGATAGTATAATGAGAATACAGGGCCTGAATTCTAGCCTGCCTCTGCCAATTATCAGGAGTATGAATGACTGTGGGCAAGTGTCTTCCTTTGAAAAACAGGGAGGGTTGGAGGAGATGATTCCTAATATCTTCCAGAATTAACATTCTGTGATTCTGTGGTTCTAGGTGTACTCTCTTGACCCCAGGCCCCAAGACCTGTAGAAGCCCCCTTCCTTAGGGATTGTGTTCACTGTTCTTCTCTGTTGGTGGCAAAGACAGTGAAGCAACACACCCCATTTCCTTTTCACTTCAGTCTGAGCCAAAAGGATGGTGTACTTTCCTCCACAGGTGACCATGGCCATTGTCCAAGCCAGAGCTCAGAGCAGTCAAACCCAACAGTATTCAGGGATAACCCTGAGCAAGGCTGGTGAGTGAGGGTGCTTTGGGATAAGGAAAAGATACAGTCTGAGAAATCAGAGGCTGGTTGAAGACAAAAAGAGCTGAGCAGCTGTCCTCTTTCTCTTCTGTGCCTCACTCCTGCCCTAGGCCAGAGTTCTGGCTCCAGAAAATCACCGATTCCCCTCTTGGAGACACCAGAAGACTGGGAGACTGAGAGGAAAAAGCAGGGGGCCAATAGCTGGCGGGTTAGTCTTGTCAATGAGAGATTCGACGTAGCCACCAGGTGATCCCCCAGTCCACCCCAACTGCTGTAGCCTTCCTTATCGCCCCACAGTTCTCTGACTCTTAAGCTATGCTTCCCACACACTCCAGCTTCCTAGGACAGCCACAAAGCTATCCCCCTTACCTCCTAGGTCTCTAAATCTGAGATCACTTGGAATGATCACCTCCTAAGCACCTCCCTTGTAATCACAGGTTTGCGTTATGAGGTCACTGAGCCAAGATGTGACATTACTCTCAATTTCACAGCCTCCCCCGTTACTTCTGGGTCCCTAACCGAACTCTGGACAGTGAGGTCAGGAGAGCATTTGGCCACTTTCATCAGGGCCGTGGACCGGTCAGTGTGAGGGTGGGGATTAGAGGGTTATGGGAGGTCAGGGGTCATTGTGAAGGGAGGGGATCCCTGTGAGGTCAGTGTGGGGGCAAGGGCAGGGTGAGGCTAGGAGTTCCTCCCACAGTGATTCTCCTCTCACCCATTTGAAGCGCCTGTCCTGGCATCACCCTGGGGGTAGTGATCTTCTCCGCTGTGGAGGTTTCTACACAGCCAGTGACCCTAACAAGGAGGACATCAGGTGAGGGAAGTTTGATGAGAATTAAAGGTTAGGTGTTCAGAGCAGACGCCTTCCCTTACTTTCTGACTCTCTCTCCTCCAGATCAGTGGAGTCTATGCTCCAGGCTGGGCATTCTGACGTTGTCCTGGTCGACACTATGGATGAGCTGCCTAGTCTTGCAGATGTCCAGCTTGCCCATTTGAGGCTGAGGGCCCTCTGTCTGCCTGGTGAGAATAACCTTTAACCCCTTACCGCACTTGTAGGTCTGCTGACCCTAACCTGGCTTTCCATTTGCCTGCTACAGACGAGCAGCCAACCTTTCAGCCCAATGAGCCTTAGTTTTCTACTCAACTCTCCCATCTCCCACGTACTAATTTCCTGTCTCCCAGACCCCAACATATTCTTTTTGTTAACAGCTTTATTGGGATATAATCTACACAGTATAAAAATCATCCTTGCCCTAACCGGTTTGGCTCAGTGGATAGAGCGTCAGCCTGCGGACTGGAAGGTCCCAGGTTCGATTCCGGTCAAGAGCATATGTCTGGGTTGTGGCTGGATCCCCAGGAGGGGGCGTGCAGGAGGCAGCCGGTCAATGATTCTCTCTCATCATTGATGTTTTTATCTCTCTCTCCCTCTCCCTTCATCTATGAAATCAATAAAAATATATTTTAAAAAATCATCCTTCACCCATAAGTATACAATTCAATAAACTCTGTACAAACATTACCACAATTTAACTTTTGAAACCTCATGGCCATTAGTTACTTTTCATTCCTATCCCCAGCCCAAGGAAACCACTACCCAACTTATTCTTAACCCTTCAGGCTATAGACCCTGAATCCTGAATCCCGAGTTCTGATCTCTTTGCCCTTCTGACCCCTCTACTATCCATCAGATTCATCTGTATCTGAGGATAAATGGCTCTCAGCCCTGGAAGGAACACGATGGTTGGACTATGTCAGGTACTCCCTCTTTTTCTAAAAATGACTTATAATTCAGCCCTCCCCCAACTTCCATTAACTTAGATTCCTAAGTGGCCTTGCATTAATTTTGCTCCTTGGTTTCCCAAGAAGGCTGTTATTTCATGCTCCTTAGAAGGAGAAGGCAGGATTTTGGAGTTGGCCTCTATTCTGTCCCACGACCCCTCACTCCTTTTTTCCAGGCTTATTCTTCCCTCCTCTTCCTCACCTCCAGGTCTTGCCTTCGAAAGGCCAGTGACATCTCAGTCTTAGTGACATCTAGAGTTCGCTCTGTAGTACTTCAAGGTGAGTTTCTTGGGTCAACTCACTCCATTACTTGAGTTTTTCCTTTACCCACCTAACTGGATTGTGCAAACATTATTTGCAGGCCATAGAAAATTATCAACCTAAAAATTAGCCTGCTATATTTGTTCAAACATTTAATTAACCCACCCCTAATGCCTTGGCAGGGCCAGACCAAATGATTTCATGGACCTTACTAGTATATGGCCCACAGGCCAGACATTCCCCAGCTGTTATAAAGCTTGTCCCCTTCTAGTGCTAGCATCCTCTTCTCCCTTTACTAGGAACTACCCGTGAGCTCTAACTCATCCTTTAGTGCTACCTCCGCCTCCCCACCACAGCTTGTGGTCCTAACAGAAGGATTCTCTGCCCTCAGTTCCTATTCTTCCAATATGGATGGGGATTGGGGTTGGGATGGGAAGGACAATGTGGAAGCTGATTTGAGATTTATAATGCTGCCCCCTAAATGTGAGGCTGAGTATTTCTATCAAGATGGAGTCTATGAAGTGAATCATTCAAGGTCTTTGTTTTTTCCTTACTTCTATGTGCCCTCTCAATTCTACCTACCCAAAACTTTCCCCTCTGTGCTTCACCACACTTCTTGCCATGTTTTCTTTTCTCATTCTCTTCTGCCCTAGTTTCTTGGCCCCCTCCTTCTTTGTCCCTTCTCCCTCTTTATCACCAGAGCGAGGTGATCGTGATTTCAATGGCCTCCTCTCTTCACTCGTCCAGCTGCTTTCAGCCCCGGAAGCCCGAACGCTGCTTGGCTTCCAATCACTAGTGCAGCGAGAGTGGGTGGCAGCTGGACATCCCTTCCTGACCCGACTTGGGGTAACTGGGGTCAGTGAAAAGGTGAGAACATTTTGGGAGGGTATTGGGATGGGGGCCAGTATTACTTAAAAAGAGGATCAGAAAATTATATAGTATAATCCACTGGAGGTGAATAAGGTCTGAAGGGTACTGAGGTTAGGCTGAGTTTGAAGGGAGAACCCAGATGAGGGAGGGACCACACTTCCTATTATGCTCAATTCAGATCTCCATTTCCTGATCTCCATAGTGGCCCCTGTTCCCTGTGTCCCTCTCATTTGTCATCCTCCCCTTTTAGATTCCTATAGTCCATTCCATCCTCCTAATTTACCTTTTTTCAGGCCCCAGTGTTTCTCCTCTTCCTTGATTGCGTCTGGCAGCTCCTCCAGCAGTTTCCAGCTGAGTTTGAATTCTCTGAGTTTTTCCTTCTTGCTCTTCATGACAGTGTCAGGGTTCCTGACACACTTACATTCCTGAGAGACAATCCCTGGGAGCGTGGAAAGCAGAGTGGACAGGTCAGTGACTTTCATTTTTCACTTGTCTTCCACATTCCTCCACCCCCCATTGAGAAGTACTTTCTGAAGTTTAGTCTTGTTTATGAAAAGTGAGGTCTATGGGTGAGAAAGAGGGAGGTTGGTGCTCTCTCTCAGGACTGGACTTTCACCCTACATATGACTCCTGGAGTAAGAGATGGGCAGCTTTTCACAATTTCTCTCTAGACCTGTGAGAAGGAATATCTACCTACCTACCTATCTATCTATCTATCTATCTATCTATCATCTATCTATCTATCTATCCCGGTGCACAGATTCGTGCACCAGCGGGGTCTCTCGGCCTGGCCTGTGGGGATCAGGCCAAAACCGGCAGTCCGACATCCCCCGAGGTGTCCTGGATTGCAAGAGGGCATGGGCCAGGCTGAGGAACCCCACTGGTGCATGAATCCATACACCGGGCCTCTACTTTGCATATAAGATCTTTGGTTAATCTCTTCCCGCCCTCCCCCATTTCCCCTTCCCTCTGAGATTCAGCAGTCTGTTCCAGGTTTCCATGCCTGTGTGTTGAGCGTCTGCCCCCTGATGGTCAGTGTGCATCATAGCTACTGGTTGAATGGTCGAACAATCGCTTAGGCTTTTATATCTATAGATTTTTTTCCTTTGTTTAACCATCTTTTTTTCCTGTTTTCCTCTGTACAGTTCAACTCCTATACACAAGTCTATACCCCAGGGTACTCCCACCCCCCCGCTGGTAACTCTATTAACTCACAGCTATCTGTCTGGGACTGGGATTTACGCTACAGCAATGAACAGATACTACAATTCCATAATCCTGGCTATGACCCGGAACACTGCCAAGATTCCTGGCTCCCTAGACAGCAGGTGAGGTGTCTGAACTCCCTAAATTCCCTTGACTTGCTCACAGGCTCATCCTACTAGATTGGGGGGAGAAGTGGAAAGATACAGTGTCTAAGTTCCCCAGGGAAAGCTACCTTACTCCTCTTCTACAACAACTGTCACTTATTGTTCCTGACTGTCCCCAGGAAGACAGAAATCCTAGCATAGCAGTGGGCATCCTTTTGGTCCTCATCTGTCTCACGCATACATTTTACAAGTTTCCCTAAAATCAACTTTAATCAGTCCTGAGGCCTATTTTGAAACCTAATGAAGAGAAAAAATAGAGTTCTCAGTGGGAGGCTTGTAGTTGCACCACCAGTGCAGTGATAGTAGCTGGACATTCCTTCCTGACCCAATTTGGGAAAACTGGGTTCATCTGGTTTCTAGGTCACCAGCTGATTTTCCTTTCCCCTTTAGCCAAGCTTCATGGTTCGTGGACCCCCCAGTTCTGTGTGGCTCTTCTCCAGAGGGGCCCTGACTGCCCTGAATCAGCTCTGTCCTTGGCGGGACAGCCCTTGCCTGCTGACAGTCTCTTCACGCTGGCTCCCTCGACCTGCTATCTCTTCGGAAAGTCTAGCTGATCAAGAGTGGGGGCTCCCCTCACATTGGGGAGCTTGCCCTTTACCCGCAGGGCTGCTGCTGCCTGGGTACTTGGGACCCCAGATCAGGCTCTGGAGACGCTGCTATCTAAGGGGAAGGCCTGAGGTCCAGGTGAGAAGAGAAGACAGGGATGGGGAGTGGGAGAAGGGTTTGACTGCTGAGTCAGATGTCCTAGGAGAAACCAGATGTTCCCAGGATCAGGAACAGCAAGGGGCTGGGGAAACTGGGAAGTGAAGAACCATTCATGTTGGTATCAAAGTGGAGAGGTGTGGGAGTATGGGTGGGTGGGGAAAACTGCTAGTGGCTCAGACCAAGTGGAACCTAGGGCACAGTTGGAGGGGGAAGAGAATTAAAGATGCCAGAATAGTGGACAGATTTCAGAAGCAGAGAGCTAGAGCTGCACTGATGCTGTTCCTCTACTTCCCACTCCCTTCCCAGAGGGGCCTCTCAGCTCCCACCATCACGGGCCTCCAGGACGAGCTATCGCGTCTTCAGGAGCTAATAAAGAAATGGACGCCAAGAACATCTCCCGAGGACCGCTCCCAGAAAGGAGATCCAAATCCCATTCTCTCCCAGTCCCGTTGACATGGCTGGCTTTCTCGTGGGCAGGGCAAAGGGGGTCCCCACTTCCTTCGCAGAGGGGCCTCTCAGCTCCCACCATCACGGGCCTCCAGGACGAGCTATCGCGTCTTCAGGAGCTAATAAAGAAATGGACGCCAAGAACATCTCCCGAGGACCGCTCCCAGAAAGGAGATCCAAATCCCATTCTCTCCCAGTCCCGTTGACATGGCTGGCTTTCTCGTGGGCAGGGCAAAGGGGGGTCTGGGGTGAGAGAGGGTTCTAACCCTTCCGGTTTTTCTCATCGGGACTTGCCGCCTCAGCTTTCACGTTCCAGCCCTCAAACAAGACCCGACTTGATTTTCCATTGCAGATGGGTGGTGCTACCTACAACTCTTGCTCTGTCCTGTTTAGTTCCTCAAGAGTGTATATAGTGTCTAGTGATTTGAACAATTAAGAAACGAAAACAGTCCAAAATACGATCACCTGTTTGTTTTCTTTTTCTTTTCTTTTTTTTTTTCAGGGAAATTCCCTTTTGGATATTCAACTGTTAATTTTGAGTTCAGGCCTCATTTTCACCTCCTTTTGCTGCTTCTTTAATTCCAATTCCTACTTCTCCCCTTAGAGCTTCCTATGGATATAGAGTGGGTATGGGAGACACCCTGTCTCTTCCAATTGTCTATTTTTGTAGTGAATTTCTATTTAAGGGGCTCATTAAAGCATAGTATTTATACTTGTTGCTGGCACTGTTTCTCGTGTCTGAATAAAGGATCCTAGGCGAGTGGGGTAGGTGTAGGGTGGGTGTGACCCAAGAGAGAATGGCACTCACCACGCAAATTATTGATCAGGAAATAAGGGATGGGTCGGGGGAGGCTCTGCAAACTTCACGTGCAATTTGGGAAAAGTTTTCTTTTCCGTGCCTCCCACTGAGGAACAGGTGGTGCAAAAGCATACCAAGAAGTGGTTGCTGGGGCCAGGGATGTTCTGGAGGGTGAACCTCTGGGTTTCAATGTCAACCGCCCCTCAGCTTCGGTCACACCTCATCTGTAAGCCTCGGGTTCCCCGGAACCCCCCATGTAATAACCGCGACGCGAGCCGAGACGTCACTTCAGCGGCGACACTGCAATCCCTCCCTTGAAGGAGACAAAAAACTAACCGAGCCCGGGCTGGCGCTGCGGGGCGGGGTGAGGGCTGCCCCCGCGCTGTCCTTGGGTGAGGGAGTTCCTCAGCACGCCCTTCTCTGAGGAACAAAATCTATGAAAAGTTTCGCTCCTTTCGTTTTCAAATTTACATTTTGGAAACAGTGTGGTCCTGCAACGTCTCACTCAGCCTGGGGAGGGTCTGGCGTTCCCGTCCTGCCTTCCTCGCCCGTAGCGCTCGCGGCACCAACGCCGCACCTGGGAACCCCG